CACCAATAGGTACGTAGTTGTGTGTAGTCGACCACAGTTCCTACTTTAAGTACACAAAAGTCTAACACCAATGGGACTTAGTTGTGTTGTAGCCGACCACGAGTCCATTAAGCACAAAGCTACACAATGGGCTAGTTGTGTTGTGCCGACCACGAGTCCATTAAGCACAAAGCTACACAATGGGCTAGTTGTGTTGTGCCGACCACGAGTCCTGATTGAAACTCAGTTTTTTGGCGTTATAAGTCTTCAAGCTTACCGCTTAGTCAATGGGTGTAAGATAAATGAAAATATGATTTTAAAATATTAATTAATTTTCCAAACGAAGTATGCAAAGTACTCCTTGAGCAGCGTTAAGAGCTAATTCACTATTTTCAATTAATACTGGCAAATATCATCAACTCTATAGTGACTTTTTTTTCCCCTCTCTAAATATGTTAGGCTTATCTCTTGGAAAGGTTTGTAGGTTTCTACCAACATTCTCTGTCATTATGAATATTCAAAGCTGTTGTTTTATTTGCTAAATTTTAGTGTTGTTTTATTTTCAAACTTTACATGTTCTGAATAACTTCGTTAAAGAAAAAAAATGTATAAAATTATTCATTCACTGGCTACAAAGATAGAGTTTTGAATAAAATAGATACCGGTTTGTTAGTTTGTTTTTTATTGTTACATAATGTCATCTTAATGAGTTCTTTTCGCTAAGCATAAAATTTTAGATAGAATGAAGATACATGAATGTACAATGTATTAATTTAAAGTTAACTGACACACATAAACATCGTTCTCAGAACTATTGTAAACATTCAAATTGATCGTAATACGTATTCTTTTCCTTAAAAACGGGAAACCGATGTTAACCAGATGTTATAAATAAAAACCATTTTTCAGAATATGCTTTAGTGATATATTTTTTGTTTGTGGCTAAGAATAATATCTTGAGCTTCCAATATTATAAGGATTATTACTCCAAGAAAGATAGAGAATTAGCCCGCAAGATACACCAAACGGTTAGTAATTACTTAAGGTTCTCTTTACCAGCAGCCCGGCATGGTCAGGTGGTTAGGGCACTCGACTCGTAATCTGCTGGTCGCGGGTTCCAATCCCCATCCCACCAAATATGCTCGCTCTTTCAGTCTTGCGAGCGTTATAATGTTACGGTCAATCCAACTATTCGTTGGTAAAAGAGTAGCCCAAGAATCGGCGGTGGGGGGTGATGACTAGCTGCCTTACCTCTAGTCTTACACTGCTAAATTAGAAACAGCTAACGTAGATAGCCCTCGTGTATCTTTGCGCGAAATTAAAAAAACAAACAAACAATCTTTACCACCGCCTAATTTAACTCGGAATATATATACATATGATTTAGGCCCTGAATGATCAATAAGAAATTTTAAAAATTCTAACGATGCAAGTGTGTCAAGTTTTATTAATATATTGTAAAGTTCTGATGACCTTTTGAGAAAATATTTAATCTACTATATCCATGAACAATCGGAGCCGTCTCTACACAGACAGTGCTACCACCTGTCTGATAATCCTGGCTAAACTAGAGTTTTAGATATTTTTTTACTATTTATAAATCTGTGATTTGGTACCTTTATTTTCTTTAACCAATTTCTTTTAACGGTTTGTTTCTGAATATGTTTGACTAACTGATATCCAGTTATAGGAAATCAGCTTTTTTTGAAGTGTTACGTCCATGATGTCCATTGGTGAGAGTAGATAACATTAACTATAATATGTCCTGTTAAATGTTACAGCTATATCTGTATGACTGCATCACATGTAAGCATATGGTTTGCCACGACAAAACTTAAAGTACACAAACTTGCGGGTGTTTAGCTGCAAAAGTTTTAGATTTTCAGCTAAGATCTTTGTACTGTTAAAATGATGGTTTGTACGGACATTCTTTACACCAAATATAACATTTGAGCTCAGAGTTTTGTTAAGGTATAAGGTTTTGCCTCATAAATATAAATCTAAAACTTTCTCTAGTTTAATAGAAACTCAAAGAAGAAGTAATAAAAACTTCTAAATAAATAACTTTTAAAAAACCTAATCACAAGACCATATAGAGTGTAGATATTTTGTGCAGTATCATATTCAAACTGCTGATCTCCTGTATTTTCTAGTTAATAAACTTTATACCAGTGTAACTTTTTAAAAACCTAACCTAACCACAAGATCCTATAGAGTGTAGATATTTTGTGCAGTATCATCTTCAAACTGCTGATCTCCTGTATTTTCTAGTTAATAAACTTTATACCATTGTAACTTTTAAAAAACCTGACCACAAGACCATATAGAGTGTAGATATTTTGTGCAGTATCATCTTCAAACTGCTGATCTCCTGTATTTTCTAGTTAATAAACTTTATACCAGTGTAACTTTTAAAAAACCTAACCTAACCACAAGACCATATAGAGTGTAGATATTTTGTGCAGTGTCATCTTCAAACTGCTGATCTCCTGTATTTTCTAGTTAATAAACTTTATACCATTGTAACTTTTAAAAAACCTAACCACAAGATCATAGAGAGTGTAGATATTTTGTGCAGTGTCATCTTCAAACTGCTGTTCTCCTGTATTTTCTAGTTAATAAACTTTATACCAGTGTAACTTTTAAAATGGTTCATAACTTCTGAGATCAAGTTTTCCCACATGATAATGCTCAGCCATTTTTAACGTTCTACCTAATACCCTGTATAAATTTAGATTCATGCAGCTAAAGGTTCTTCAAAAACAGCTTTTCTTTCATAATTACCCATTGAAAATAAAAAGTATCATTTCTAGTGATAAGCTTACGTAATTAGGCTTTTTATCGGATAAGAAAAGTCGAGTTCAGTTGTTTTCATGACGTCCTTCTGTAACTTGAAATTTGTATTACCTTCCATCTATTGTCCCTTGTAGAGAGGTTTTGTCATATTAATCTTCAGTCTTTACAAAAGAAAATTTTTCTCGTTTTATTTTCAACTTTCTTCCAGGGGTAAGGCTAACAATACAATTCCTGATGATATCAAAAACGTAGATTTATGAAACGAGAACAATGTCTTTTTCAGACTCTTAACGACTAAGATTCCTACCCCCTTCAAAGCTATGAATAAGGAAATGATACGGTTTTATTTTTCCGATTAGCTAAGGATATGGATGATTCTTAACATTTTTCGAATAGCAATACTCAACTTAAAGTGTTTAAAAACAAACGGAAAGTTTGTCTCATTTTATTCGTTCGTCCCCTTATTAGTTTAATACGTGAGGATATAGTTTTCAATATCGACTTTTGCTTCCTTCTAATAA